GAATCCTAAGGCAACCCTGTGAGGCAGGGACCCTTCTCCTCCCAGTTCCCAGATTCATACTCCAGGCAGTGACAGAACAATGTTGGCAGGTGGCACAGGGGTGGCAGGGGCCTTCCCTGAGCACCCTCCCTTCCCACACACCCCCAGGGGTCTACTGCAGGCTGTACACCTGGCCAGACAGCCTGCCTGCTCTTTTTTTATTTTATTTTTTATTTTATTTTATTTTATTTTATTTTTGAGACGGAGTTTCACTCTTGTTACCCAGGCTGGAGTGCAATGGCGCGATCTCGGCTCACCGCAACCTCTGCCTCCTGGGTTCAGGCAATTCTCCTGCCTCAACCTCCTGAGTAGCTGGGATTACAGGCACGCACCACCATGCCCAGCTAATTTTTTGTATTTTTAGTAGAGACGGGGTTTCACCATGTTGACCAGGATGGTCTCGATCTCTTGACCTCGTGATCCACCCGCCTCGGCCTCCCAAAGTGCTGGGATTACAGGTGTGAGCCATCGCGCCCGGCTTTTTTATTTTATTTATTTATTTATTTTTTGCCTGCCTGCTCTTGTGAGAGACTCCCAACTGCCAGTGAGCATGAGGATCCCCCTTGCTCCCCCACCCACTCATTCTGGGCCCTCCCCACTGGCACCCCCAACACCCCGGGGCTCAGGCCGCAAGTGAATGAATGAGGCTGTGGAGATGCAGGTGAGCTTAGATGTGTGGGAGGCCAGGAGGTTTGGGGGTAGCCGAGCAGTCAGCTGAGTGTGCGCCCCTGGAGGAGAGGAGGAACAGGGGACATCCCAGGGGAAGCTCGGGGGAGCCTTGGGGGAGGCCCGGCCTCGCTCTCTTTAGCCCCCTCGGGCAGAGCCACCACTGCCTCACCCAGGAGGGGATGAGGAGGCTGGTGAGAGGGGGTGCCGGGCTCCTCCACAGAGACCCTGATCCCTGCTAATTTGCAATCTTAAAATGCACGGCAAAGGCGAGGGCCTCATTGTTAGTACATTAATCAGGCAATCAGTGTCGGGGCTCCCCAGGGCTGCATGCAGGGGCACGGGAGGAGCCGGGCAATGCTATGCCAGCCTCTGGGAGAAACCCAGCAGGGGACAGTCCAAGACTGGGGCACCTGCTGGCTGTGGCACAGGGTACCAGAGGTGGCAGGGCCAGCTGGGGCAGCTGGTCCAAGGTCTTGGAAATGGGGCCAGCTTCCAGGCTGCAGAAGCACTCAGCCGAGATGCCCCACTCTCCAGGACGAGGGGCAGGATGCCTGGGAGGGCGGCTTCCCTGGCCTGGGTCCCCGCATCTGGGCCTACTGAAGGTGGTGAGGATGCCCTGGGGCTCAGACCCCCCGACCTGCCCCTCCAGCATCCTCAGACATTGGGACAGGAGGGAGGGGCTGCCCACACTGTGGCTTTTCGCCTGGCCCAGGCCCCCAAGACAATGGTTTGTTCTTCCTTGAGACAGGGAATGTGAGCCACACCCTGCCGAGCCAGGGGCCCTCTCAGAGGCGGGCAGGGGGGTTCCTGCCCTGGGCCTTGCCTCACCTCACCCTGTCCTCCGACCCTTCCCACCCATGGCACACTCACAGATACCAAGTCCACCCCTGGGTCACCCCAGGTGATTACAGGGGGACGGGATTTGGCCTTTTCACCTAAACTGGGGTCCTTGCCTGGTTTCCCCGTTCCCTGACATCCCTCGGAAGCCCCTGCTTTGTGTGTGACAGGAAACGTCTCTCCATGGGCCCAGGCTTCTCCCGGCGTCATTTCAGAGAACTCCATCCTGGGCCTCACAGAAGCAGCCACACGTCGGGTGGAGGAGGGCTCCCCACGCCCTCACCGGGGCAGCTCCGAGCCTCAGGGGAGCGTGAGTGGAAGCACTTTGTAAACTCCAGTAAGCTGCACAAATGTCGATGGGATTAGCGCTGAGCCGGACACGCATCACCCGTCCCCCTGCCCCGAGGCCTCTCTCGCTGTAGACTCAGGGACGGAGATGGCTTTGTCTTTGCAGAATGGCCTGGCTGTGGCCCTGTCCCCTGACATGTGGGACACCCTAAAGCTGGGAGGGGCACCCTGGCTCCCTCAGCAGAGTGGGGTTGCTCCTGGGGAAGGAAGCTCCCTGCAGGGCGGCCTTCCTGGAGGGTAGCGGCCAAGCAGGGGTGAGGAGTGCGAGCTGAGCCAGAGGGGAGTGTCGCCTCCGTGGAAGGGGCAGCCAGTGTGAGTTGGGCCCCCTCCCAGCCCTGGATGGTGGCTTCAGAGAGTAGGCAGGCTTCCCAAAGTCAGGCGGGGTTTGGAGCCCAGGTTTCTCACCCTCACACCCCTGCCTCCCCCTGCAGGGTGGGGCTCCTTGGGCAGCTGGAGGCCGGACCTGAGCCTCCAAGTGTCGACAGTGGGCACTGCCATCATCTCCCACGCCTGGTAGGGGAAACTGAGGCTAGGGTGGCGGCGGCAGCCTCAGCCCGGCCTGCAGGCTGTGCATTGGCTGGGGAGTGTAGCGTGGGCCACACAGAGCCTGGCTTGGCCCAGAAAAGGTCCTTGAAGCTGTGCCGCCACCACTGAAGTCATAATTGCTCTGAAATCGCAACCAAGCCCAATTATGCAAAAAAAACAAATTATGTGCGATGATTTTTATGTGTCGGAAATGGTCAGTCGAAGCCGGGTGATTACGGGGGGACGGGAAGCAGCTGCCACTCTCTGGGAGCCCGTAACTCCCAACAGCTGGGAGCTGTCACTTATTTACGACACTGTTTCTGCTAGGAACGAGGGGTGACAGTGGTGGCAAGGCCTGCTGGGCCGGGAGCCTGGGCGGGCAGAGGCACGAGGCGGGAGCAGGCCTGGCCCCAGAGCGGCTGGAGGGGCTGCTTCTCATCCCACAAGCTTTGGGCACAGCTGCAGCAGCGACTCGGCTGCCCCGGGCGCCCCGACTCTCCCACGAGGCCTCTCCGGAGCCAGAAGCAAAGGGGCAGGAGGCCCGCCGGGCAGGGAGGAGAAGGCTGGCTGGCCATCGGGGTGGGAGCCTGGAGCCCACCCCCTCAACCTTGGCGCGCCTGCCCGGCCTCCTGGGGCAGTTGCGACCCTGGAAAAAGGCAGGTAATGACGGTCGTCGCTAATAAGGCTGCTCGGATAATGAGCGCGGGGCTGTTATCTGACCACAGGCTGGACACATCCGAAAATAAATTACTTTAAGGATCCATTAGCGAATGCCTAATTAATGCCCAATTAGAGGGAAGCTACAGAGGAAACGCTCTGGACAGTGGAGAGGCGAGGCCTGGTTTTGCAGCCACAGCCTGGGGGAAAGAGGGGAGGGGCCCAAGGGTGGGCCGGGAGGGGGCAGCCTCGGTCTGACAGCGGCTGTCACCCCCCAGGCCTTTACAGACAGGCGCCTCTCAAGGCATCCACACAGCTCTGCCAGGGAGAACTGCTATTGTCTGTATTTTATTTTATTTCATTTATTTATTTATTTTGAGACAGAGTCTCACTCTGTCACCCAGGCTGGAGTGCAGTGGTATGATCTCGGCTCACTGCAACCTCTGCCTCCAGTGATTCTTGTGCCTCAGCTTCTCAAGTAGCTGGGATTATAGGCACATGCATGCCCGGCTAATTTTTGTATTTTTAGTAGAGACAAGATTTCGCTGTGTTGGCCAGGCTGGTTTTGAACTCCTGACCTCAGGTGATCTGCCCTCCTTGGCCTCCTAAAGTTCTGGGATTACAGGTGTGAGCCACCATGCCTGACCATGTCTATATTTCAGAAATGAGGAAACTGAGGCTTAGAGGGAGTGTTCCCTCTATGTTTTGAGGACATGGAAGACGCGGTAAAGGAGACATTATTTCAGGTGAACTTTGGTGCCATGCATGCATGCTGTGCTTGTGATTGGGAATGATTTAAATAAAGAGATTCTGGCCAGGCAGGGTGGCTCACGCCTAGCATCCCAGCACTTTGGGAAGCTGAGTGGGGCCGATCACCTGAGGTCAGGAGATCAAGACCATCCTGGCCAACATGGTGAAACACCGTCTCTACTAAAAACACAAAAATTAGCCAGGCGTGGTGGTGCACGCCTGTGATCCTAGCTACTCGGGAGGCTGAGGCAGGAGAATCACTTGAACCCTGGAGGCAGAGGTTGCAGTGAGCCAAGATTGCGCCACTGCACTCCAACCTGGGTGACAGAGTGAGACTGTCTTAAAAAAAAAAAAAATTAAATAAGGCCGGGCGTGGTGGCTCACACCTGTAATCCTAGCACTTTGGGAGCCTGAGGCAGGTGGATCACGAGATCAAGAGATCAAGACCACCTAGGCCAACATGGTGAAACCCCGTCTTTACTAAAAATACAAAAATTAGCTGGGTGTGGTGGCGCGCGCCTGTAGTCCTAGCTACTCAGGAGGCTGAGGCAGAGTTGCTTAAACCCGGGAGTCGGAGGTTGCAGTGAGCTGAGATTGCACCACTGCACTCCGGCCTGGCGCCTGGTGGACACAGTGAGACTCTGTGTCAAAAAAAATAATAATAATAAAATAAATAAATAAATAAAATAAAAATAAATAAATAGATTCCTCAGGACAGCAAGAGCCCCTCCACTCTCCGTGAGCACAGATAACAACAGCCAGGGACACAGCTAGGAGAATGGGAAGCTGATGGCGGTGTCCCTGGGTCATGGCCTCCACCCCTGCAGCGTGACAGAGCCGGAGCGGGTGAGCCTGGGGCTCAGCATCTGTGGGGTGGAACTAAGGAAGCTTGGGGGTGATCAGGGCCTTCACCCCAGACTCACCTCCCAGACCCAAGAAGTGGGTCACCAAGGAGGAGGGGAGGCCTCTTGTCTCAGATGGGTTCCAGGCTTGGACCCGGACCCTTGACCCTGACTTTCCTCCAGGCAGGGGTGAGGCTCTCATTGAGCTCAGCCAAGGTGAAGATGTGGCCCCAGTGGGCCCAGGAGGGCGCCGTGCCAGTCCTCCCCTGCACTGTGCCCGCCTCCCGCCCCTCTGCGGCCCCTGACCTGGCTGTGCTCTCTCTCCCCTGCCAGGGTGCTGTGTGGAAGTGCTGCTGCTGCTGGTGGCTGCGGAGCTGCCCCTGGGTGGCGGCTGCCCGCGGGACTGCGTGTGCTACCCAGCGCCCATGACGGTCAGCTGCCAGGCGCACAACTTTGCGGCCATCCCGGAGGGCATCCCAGTGGACAGCGAGCGCGTCTTCCTGCAGAACAACCGCATTAGCCTGCTGCAGCCGGGCCACCTCAGCCCCGCCATGGTCACGCTCTGGGTCTATTCCAACAACATCACCCATATCCACCCCGGCACCTTCGAGGGCCTCGTGCACCTGGAGGAGCTGGACCTCGGCGACAACCGGCAGCTGCGGACGCTGGAGCCCGAGACCTTCCAGGGCCTGGTCAAGCTCCACGCCCTCTACCTCTACAAGTGCGGGCTGAGCGCCCTGCCGGCCGGCGTCTTTGGCGGCCTGCACAGCCTGCAGTACCTCTACCTGCAGGACAACCACATCGAGTACCTCCAGGACGACATCTTCGTGGACCTGGTCAACCTCAGCCACCTGTTTCTCCATGGCAACAAGCTGTGGAGCCTGGGCCCGGGCACCTTCCGGGGCCTGGTGAACCTGGACCGGCTGCTGCTGCACGAGAACCGGCTGCAGTGGGTGCACCACAAGGCATTCCACGACCTGCGCCGGCTGACCACACTCTTTCTCTTCAACAACAGCCTGGCGGAGCTGCAGGGTGCATGCCTGGCCCCGCTGGGGGCCCTGGAGTTCCTCCGTCTCAACGGCAACCCCTGGGACTGTGGCTGCCGAGCGCGCTCCCTCTGGGAGTGGCTGCAGCGGTTCCGGGGCTCCAGCTCCGCTGTCCCCTGCCTGTCCCCCGCGCGGCGGCACGGCCAGGACCTGAAGCTGCTGAGGGCCGAGGACTTCCGGAACTGCACGGGACCAGCGTCCCCGCACCAGATCAAGTCGCACACGCTCACCACCACGGACAGGGCCGCCCGCAAGGGCCACCACTTGCCCCACGCCCCCACCAGGGGCAAGGGCCACCTGCCCGGCTCCCGGCCCGGCCACAGGAAGCCGGGCAAGAACTGCACCAGCTACAGGAACCGCAACCAGATCTCTAAGGCGGGCGGCGGGAAGCAGGCCCCCGAGCTGCCAGACTATGCCCCCGACTACCAGCACAAGCTTGACTTCGACATCATGCCCACCGCCCGGCCCAAGAGGAAGGGCAAGTGTGCCCGCAGGACCCCCATCCGTGCCCCCAGCGGGGTGCAGCAGGCCTCCTCGGGCCGTTCACTGGGGGCCTCCCTCCTGGCCTGGATTCTGGGGCTGGCGGTCACTCTCCGCTGAGAGCCCAGGGCGTCAGCACCCAGCACTGCCACGTGTCCACCAAGGAACAGAATTTATTTTCTTCTTTTTTTCCTAGTGGAAGATCTGCTGGGTTTCAGGGAAAGGCCGGTGGAGGTGTCTTCACGCGGCTGCTGTCTGGACCCTGCCATGTGGATTGTAAACCCAAAGTGTACAGCCCTAGGCGGAAGGGGATTGGCACGTCTCACCCGGCGGTCCCCGCCAGCCCCGCAGAGCACCCACGGACAGCGTCCACTCCAGCAAGGCGGTGAAAGTCACGCCGAGTGCATCCTTCACTAGCGACAATGGGACAATCGCCCCTAACGGCGGCGTCGGGGCTCTGCGGAATCCCGATCGTCTGGAGAGGTCTGGAGGGCCCCATGGTTCCTGGAGAAAGCAGGAGGCAGAGAGGAACAAACGAGGCGCACCCAGGAGGCTGGGCGGCCGCAGTCTGGGCACACACGAGCAGGTGGCATCCTGGCTGTTTCCTGAGGCCACTTAGTCACCCTGCCCTGAATCCTACTGGACTCCACCTTCAGCCCCTCCCTGGGGGCAGCACCTCTCCTTCCTGATGTCTCAGGCAACCCTGGCAGGCCCAGGCCCAACTGCTGGGGTCCAAGAACCAATTACCAAAGGAAAGATCATCAGAGGCTGAAATTCAAACTTCATCCCGGGCAATGAGGTTCTCACAGAAGGTGCAGTTTTATAACTACGTCCACTTATATATACTCACAATCTACATATATATACACAAATGCACAGGTCCTCCCTCCCACTCCATCACCTAACTGTATGACTTTCCATGTTTATAAACTATCCAGAAAACTGAATTTGCTGAGCTAAGGATTGTGTCGGTGATTTCTAGCAAGAACAAAGTGATAGAATTTTTGTCTAGAATCCCAGCCTGGCTTGCCAGGGATTGGGCAGGTGTCAGTGGGGAGGGTGAGGAAGGGGTGGCAGCAAGAGTCACTTTGGGGGACCAATATTCTTAGATATTTACAGCATCACCTTGTTGTCGTATGCAACACAAGCCTGTCTGCCACCCTGGAGCACCCTGTCACCTCTGCTGTACTAGCTGTGGGCTTCAGGGTGAGAAGTGAGAGGCAGCTTGTTGGATGTCAGGGAGCCAGGCCCTGAGGGCCAGCAAGACAGGAGGGGAGGGAAGGGCTTTTGGATCTGGAAGCCGGCAGGCCAGGCAGCATCCATAGTGTTAGTCCAGCGGGTTGGACGGTGTCGGCAGCCTAGCGTTTGGCCAGGGACGGCCTGGACACGCCAAGAGACTCAGGCTTGAGCCAAGGCCTCCCGCACGGCTCAACTGCTGAACGTTTCCTTGAGGTTCTTCAGTGGACGGCCCAGGAAGGGCCCTGTGCAGGGCAGCAGGAGGAGGCATCAGGGGTCCTTAGCAGAAGGGAAACGATGAGGGCATTTCATGAACCATCTCAGGCACCCAGCCCTCCCAGCCCTCCTGGGGATGCTCAGGGTGCAGGCAGAGGCTGGGGAGGCCAGACTCAGGGGTCAGGAGCAGGGACGGGCACCACCCAGGGACTGGGGCAGGTGAGCCCGGACAGGGAAGAGGCACTCAGATCAAAGCCAGCCATGCCGCTGGCCAGGGGCCCAGGTGGGCACAAGCTCCTTTGCGCTTTGCACAAACCTGAATCCCCCACCAGAGAGGATGTGTGTGAGGAGCGAGAAACGCCGAATCCAATTAAGAGAAAAATAACAATAACAATAAATGATCTTGGACAAGAACCCTGTTTTTCATTTCCTAGCCCCGCATTCCTGACAGGTGGCAGATCCTGGGCTTCTGTGGGTGGGCGAGCCTGGCTGGGCCCAGCTCTGCGAACACAGCACATTTGTTGGCGGGAGGAGCCTTAGGGGGCAGGGGTACACTGACTCACGGGGACACGCACGCATGCACGCGCACCCCAGCGCTCCTGTTTCCACGCACGCACGCGCACCCCAGCGCTCCTGTTTCCACGCACGCACGCGCACCCCAGCGCTCCTGTTTCCACGCACGCACGCGCACCCCACCGCTCCTGTTTCCACGCACGCACACGCACCCTAGCGCTCCTGTTTTGTGGCGCTTCCTTCCCCCGCACAGATCATGATTCCCTTCCCACATTCTGGTTGCCCTGGGTCAGCAGCACCTCTGTGGCTCTCCCGGGCAAGCTGGTCCTGGACCCTTCCCGGCCTATTCCCGGGAGCCTCAGGAGCAACTGCTGAGTGACTTGATTCTCAGGGGGCTGGGCAGCTGGCTGGTGGGGACGGGTGGCTGCAAGGGAACATTCAGTTCCTGGGGCCCAAGGGATTTTCTAGGAGACCAGGGACCCACCCGGACAGCTGTGGGTGGGTTTGGAGACTGCACCTGCCTCTCTGGCTTCAGAGAAAGGAGAGGGTCCCCCGGATAGAGGGAGGAGGCTGTGTTTTCAGGCCTGGCTGGACAAATCCTCCTCAGTAGAGGCTTGGGGCGTTCACTAAAGGGAGCCCAGTGACTGCGGAGCGAAGAATCCTCAGCCTGCAGTTGCTCCGCTGCAGCCGGCAGGCTCTGACCCAGGCTGGTGGCAGGGCCCGGCTGTTTAGAACCCAAGGATGTTATGTTGTTGATTTCAATTCCAACCTCAGACAGCAAGGCCCTCAGTGGGAAAATCATGAGTCTAAGCACTTTATTAAATTTTTTTTAAAAAAAAGACTTAGCCCTATAATATGGAATGGAATGTCAGTACGAGAAATGCTAATGTTTTGTAAATGATCCGCTTCTGTCAAGCACAGCACAGTGTCTGGTTGCTGACTGTTATTAGAGGCAAGGCGGTGGGGGCCCAGGACGCCAGGTATTTTTAGCAGCTTTCTCCTCTAAGAGTTAGGGGGAATTGAGGCAGCTCTGCTGCTGGTGACATTACTTGTCACCCAGCAGCTCATGCTACGCAGTGACGATGACACCGTCTCCCCAAACATCAAAGCAAGTGGATACATCGGGGGTGCAGCAAAGGCTTCTCTATTCGCCAGCCCCAGCCAGCCCCTGGTCTCATTCAGGGCAGGGACATGCAGATTCCTGTGGTCCTCCCAGAGGTGGAGGCCCCCTCCCCTGCCATCTTCTGCCAGCACTTTTCCTGGACCCCAGGAGGGACCCACTTCTTCTCCCTCCCCCTCCTCCTGCCACGCAGGTCTCCACTGTGGACTGATGGGGACACAGCCGGCCTTGTCGGAGGGGGCTGGGTGGTCCTGGTTGTCTCTAAGAATCTCCACACAAGCTCCTCCCCTGACCCCAGAGCTTGGCTGGCTCTGCATGCTTCATTCAACAAAGGCTGATCGAGGGCCTCCGTGTCCAGCCACTGGCCAGGCTCTGGGGACATAAGCGTGAGGAGATGTGGCAAGGAGCTCATAGATGAGATGTAGAAACAAGTATTCGCAATTGGTATGGAATTGGCGCTCCTGTTAGCACCCCGCAGCCCCCAAAATGAGGAGCTCAGCTGGGTGGGGGCAGTCAGAGACGGCTTCCAGGTGGAGGTGACACTCCAATGTGTCTTGGAGGATGAAGAGCTGTCCAAAGAAGAGGGTGGGGAGTAGGGCTAGAGGTGGTAACAGCACATGTCTGGGGCATCCATAAACCGCTTCGAGCTGAGGTTGTGGGAGATGCATCCGGCCCTGGGGGCCTAGGGGATCCTGCTCAGGGGGCTGTGTGGCTCCCCACCTGGGGTTGTCCTCCCCCACGCCCCCCAGCCTGTCTTGGGCACGTGGTTTCCGACCGTGGCACCCTTGCCGCAGTTCCTCAACAGCGGGTTTCATGATGGAAACTTGCCTCCTTGTGCTCAGCCAGATCCTCCCCTCGTGCCAGCAAGCTGGAGCGCTCGCTGGAAGTCTGCCTGGGCCACAGTCCCATTCCCAGACACCTGCTGCTTCCAAGCTCGGGAAGCGTTCCACGGCCCGGCGCTCCCTGCTTCCCAGGCGCCGGCCGCCCTCAGTCCCTCCTGGCTTCGAGCAGCCTGCTTAGATCCCCGTGCTTCTGCGTGTGCCCGATCTGACCATCAGCCAGCCCTGAGCCCCTCCCATCGGCCGCACCCCCTCCTCTCCTGCTGGGGCTGTTCATCCCAAGAGCCATGAATCCCATTTAGCAAATGTTTACTCATCACCCAGCTAATCACCAGTGCTCTGCCACCACGGTAAATGGGCTCCAGAAAGCCTGTGAGCAGGTTCGGGGAGGCGGGAGAGCCAGGGAGGCCTCTCGGAGGGCAAGCTGCAGGGACCAGGGTCAGAGAGAAGGAGTTTGCTGGGGAGGCTCCTGGGAGCCACCGAGCACTCAGCAAATTCCCCTTTCCATGCTCCCCAGGCAGGCCCACCAGTCCCTGAGCAGACCCACCTCTGGGATGCCAGGGACTCCCCTCTTCCGGGCCCTACTTTACGCTGACCTAGGGAGCCAGCCTTTCTCTGGGTTCATTTGCTGTTTGTTTTTGAGACAGGGTCTTACGCTGTCACCAGGGCTGGAATGCAGTGGGATGATCATGGGTCACTACAGCCTCAGCCTGTTGAGGCTTAAACAATCCTCCTGCCTCCAACAATCCTCCTGAGTAACTGAGACTACAGGGACACAGCACCATACCAGGCTAATTGTTTTATTTTGTATTTATTTATTTTTTGAGACGAAGTCTTGCTCTGTTGTCCAGGCTGGAGTGCAGTGGCGCAATCTCGGCTCACTGCAACCTCTGCCTTCTGGGCTCAAGCGATTTTCCTGCCTCAGCCTCCCGAGTGGCTGGGATTACAGGAGCCAGCCACCATGCATAGCTAATTTTTGTATTTTTAGTAGAGACGGGGTTTCACCATTGGCCAGGCTGGTCTCCAACTCCTGGCCTCATGTGATCCGCCCACCTCGCCCTCCCAAAGAGCTGGGGTGACAGGCGTGCGCCACCACCCCCGGCTGGTGTTCATTCTTTCAGGAGGGGAGAATACGTTTTGATGGAGTCCCTTCCAGCCCCCGTTCTGAAGCCTCCTGACCCGGTTCGGCTCCCCACCTTGCTCTCTAGATTCACTTGCCTCTAAGCGGGAGTTCAGCCGTCAGCTGAGACTCCATCCCATGTCACCAATCCCCCACTATCAGCTCGTAATGGGCCAATTTTCTTTTATCTTCTGTCTACTTGGAAAATATCTCAAGAACCTTTGATTGTGCGTTAAAACATCCTTTACAATTCTATGCTCAGTATCTCTCTGCTCCTCTGTCCCTTTTAACTCACCGTGCTTTCAGTATAAATCTCCGGGTCTCCTCCTTCTCAGGCTGTTAATAAATATGAGCTCTAAAAAAAATACATAAACATCTATTGTTGGCTAAATAACTCATGGCACAATCAAAAAGCTGGGGAAAAAAGAGAATCTTGGCTTGCCGCACTGCCACCGAGCACCCTCCCTGGAGGGTCTCTCCGCAGAGGGCTGCTGAACACTGGGGGTCCAGGCCCTAAAGAGCCTGTGGGGTGAAGGGACCCTGGAGGGCCTGGGAAGGAAGGGAAGCAAGGGAGAGAGACTAGCCGTGCTGCCAGGGCGATAGGGCTCTCTCCAAGAGCACCGAGTGACGGGCTTGACAGAGGAGACCCTCGTGCAGGGAGCAGCGGCTGATTTAAGCGGCATGTTGGTGGGCTGGCCGCCAAGGCCCCTCGACGTCAAAAGAAGTGGGTCAGCCTGCTCTGACACCAGCAGCAGCCGCGGAGGGGCCCGCCCCCATCTCTCTCCTCTCTGCCCTCATTTCTCATTAGAGCGGTTAGTTTCTAAGCTCCAGGAGGGTGGGGAAGGATGTGCCTTTGTGTCACCGACTCCTGCGAGGCAGCACGCACACTAATGGCATGCCCAAACGGCAGGATTTGACACTGCTGCCGCGAGATGTGCTTGGGTCACAGGGCTTTCCAAATTGGCTGAGGCTCCACGCCACCCCCTCCCGCCTCCCCCAGGCGCTCGGAGACCCACCAGCCACTGCTTCTGGAGCTGCCTCTGAGGGCCTCGAGCAAGAGAGGAAGCAAGACATGTATTAAACTATTCCATCTCTGTAAGTGCCATGTCCCGGGAGGCCCGCTCTAAGGAAGAAGGTAATGCGAGCGCCGGAGATCTAAGCAGGTAGGAGGCTTGGCGGAGGCACCCGGCTGCACGCTTCTCTCCCCACCCCACCACTGCTTTGGGGACAGTCACTGCCAAGACAAGAGTGCCCTCTGAGTGGCAGCATCCAGGCAGCCACGCGCCACTCCAGCCAGAGAGATTAGATGGACAATCGCCACGTAAGACTTGCTCCATGATGAGGGGCCGAGGGGACAAACCCACAGAGGAAACAGCAGCGTGGGCTGGATGGGCAGGGGAAGGTGGGCTCTAAGCAAGACACCAAAGGGTCCACACGTACAGTCTCACTTGGAGAGAGAGGGCACAGCGCCACGGGGCAGCCGTGTAGCCAAAGAGGCAGAAGGAAGCCTGGCATCATGGCTCACACTTATAATCCCAGCACTTTGGGAGGCTGAGGTGGGCGGATCACCTGAGGTCAGCAGTTCAAGATCAGCCTGACTAACATGGCAAAACCCTGTCTCTACTAAAAATACAAAAACAAAAATAAAAATAAAAATCCTGGTGGTTGGTACATGTAGTCCTAGCTACTCAGGAGGCTGAGGCAGGAGAATTGCTTGAACCCAGGAGGTGGAGGTTGCAGTGAGCCAAGATTGCATCACTGCACTCCAGCCTGGGCAACAGAGCGAGACTCCGTCTCAAAATAAATAAATAAATAAAAGTGG